TCGGCCCGGCATATATCCGTTGTCCTTGACCTCACTTTCACTGTTCAATGACAGTTTAATAGTTTTTTTTATCACTTGATGTTTTATAGTTTTAGTAATAAAAGGGCATTGAAATTTGTTATATAGAGTCATTGCAAATTATACATGTCTGTCAATCAGTATTAAACTAAACATGGCCTCCTTTCTTGATTAAGTGATCAACGTTAAGTTTTCGTAATTAGGTCCATAAACTAAGTTATAGATAAAGTATATTCTGTGTATAGTAGGACTCTATGTTGTACATGTCCAATTCACAGGGTTCTTCTGACTTAAGCTCATTTTCATGGTTCATTGGTCATCGTAATTTCTTCATGGTTTGTTAAGTTTCTCAAATTACATTAAAAAAAGGATTTTTGTGTATATAATGATTTTAAGGTGTATATTCCTAACTGTCATCTGAACTTGCCTTCGTTTTCATGGTTCATTGGTCAACGTTTAAGTTTCGTGATAAGGTCACTTTTTCCTCTACTGTAAGTAAAAGTCAACTATTGTTGTTGATTGTAAGGTGTCTGTTTGTCTAACAGACTTCATCTGAACTTGACGTTTTCATGATCCATTGACAACGTTCAAGAGTCGTGATTAGGTCCTCTTTTTAAATACTATAAGTAAAAGGTGTATAGAATGACTGTAAGGTGTACTTGGCAAAGATTTCATGGTCTATTGGTCAAGGTTAAAGTTTCGTGATTAGGCCCATTTGTCAATTACTACAATACAAGCACGTAAAGGGTGTACAGAGTTATTGTAAAGTGTATATGCCCGTCTGAACGGATTCATCTTACCTTGACCTCATTTTCGTGGATTATCTATAATGATAAATGTATGCAATACCTGTAATAAGATTGTAATCTTTACCAGTTATAAAGCAGACGTGTACAAAAATACGTAATAGTAATAAATGATTACTCTGAATATATAAAAAATAAATAAATAATGTAATTACAAGATACAAAAAAAAAAAAAAAACACCAACAAAACAGTTGACTTCGGAAACGGAAATGTCAATTCCGGTGTTACTTGATGAAAAAAAAAACAACATCATTTTGATACGCAATATACAAATACCTAACTATCTTAACTTGTATACAACGGTATTGTTTTTTGATAGAGACGGATCGATGCGAGATTATAGATTAGATATTTTTGCCAGGTTTATGGGGTGTATTATTGGATTTAAAAAAAAATATATGATGATGTGACTTGACTGCCTACGAGTCACCTATCCACCAAACGACGAGGGTGTAACCCATTATAAACAAATAGTTAAATAGTACGCCCTTAAAAGCGATTTAACCTCTAACCGTCGTTAAAATCACCCCCCCCCCCCTCCTCCCCAAACCCCCTTTTCCCAACCTCTCAACCTCATTACACACACACAGAGATTTAGAGAAATTTAACGTGTTGTTAGAACTTGCATTTAAATAACGATTTTTTCTGTTTTCAGCAGTTATTGTTAACTTCAGTTGTTGGAAAATGAACCACAGAATGATATTAGCAATTGTTCTTTGCTGCATTGTCCAGACGTGCTTAGGTTGCAGCGATCCAAGTAACCCATGCTTGTGCAAGTGTGAAGACGAAAAAGTAGCATGCTATCGGGCTTGCATGCATATTAAGGACCGTACTTATATGATTAAATGCTTTAAGCTATGTAACAACGATATGTATGAACATTGTAAAAGCAAATGCTAAGATAGGAAGTTTTATTTATTCAAATGAAAATACTTTGTGAACTTAGTTAATTAAAACTCAGTTCATATCATTGTTACTTTTTTACCTTTCCAAATAAAACTTGACTTCTGTGTATAGTGGTTAAATATACCCTGTTTTGAATTTTTTCATAAACAATTTGAATATGGAAAGATAGGGGAACTGAATGGGAGACTAAAATGATCAATCAATCTCATTTGGAAAATAAGGTCTATATGACCCAAACCCCATTTTTTTCTTTTTGTTATACGCACGAATTTAGAGAATTAAGTTTTGTGTATCGATTCCGTTGTAGAAACACCGCCAACATTAATTGTGACATACACGAGTCCGATAATTAATATTTTAAGGCACATACAATGTAAAATATTTAAATGGCAATAATATTCGCTCTTTCCTAGCAACAGTATCTAAAGTGGGAACTTATTTTTTTTCGAAAAAGGTAAACATTGTCGTTCTTAGATATACTTTCCTCGTTACTTTTATTTGTTATATATTATTTGTAATATTAACTGGCGATGACCCTTGTCCATGATTAAACACTGACCAATGAAAACCTAATGTGCTTTTCAGAATTATATATGTTAATTTAATAATGGCGCGCATGCTTTACATAATACCCACAGTGCATAAGCTGTTTTCGGTAGGGATTTGCATTTCAAATGCATGCGAATGAATTTGTTGCCGTGAGATTTGTTAATGAAGTTTACAGACCCGACCCTTGCAAAACGGCATTAATAATCCCCGGGTGTGGTAGTGTTCGTGTTGCTCGGTGTTTAGTTTTCTATGCTGCGTTTTGTAGACAGTTCTTTGTATTTGGTCGTTTTTCGTTTTTTTGCCATGGCATAGTCCGTTCGTTTTCGACTTATGTGGTGGCTATCCCTTTTGTTTTTTCTGCCTCTCTTTTTCTAGTTCACGTCCGGCCTTTTCTGGTGGGTACCTATTTTTACAGTGTCAGAATAAATATTCCATACATATAAGTCACTGGATGTTCAGTTATTTTATCCAGTTTTCATAGGTTATGTCTCCGTGAATTGAGCATGCTTTAAATATTTGTCACTGGACATTATGCAATCAACAAACACCAATTAATCGATAAATTTCCTGTTGTTTGGAAAGGAAGATTGGGTTTAAAACAATGTTTCCTGTTTATAACAACTCCTCTGAAACTACACGTCCTATTAGCTTTGAATCATTGTATACATCGAACAAGATTTTGCATGCATCTGCCCCCTCTAGAATCTGTGATAACACAAAAGCCCTCGGGTTTGTAACTTTATTAACATGTCTCACGGTAACAAATTCAATCTCATGCATTGAAAATACAGATCACTACTGAAAACAACTTCTGCGCGCGCTATTATCAAATTAACATATTTCATTCTGAAAAGCACCTGTAGATTTTTCATTGGTCAGCGTTTAACTTTGGAGAAGGGTCATCGCCAATTAATATATGCCATGCTTACTCATAACATATTTGATGAAATTAAAGCTGCGCTTTTCGTGCATTGAATACGTTGCTTCGTAAAAGGCACGCTACACAAATGTTTACCACCGAAAGCTATAATTTTATGTAGCCTAGGTGGTCGAGTGGTCTAGGGCACTGGACACGGTGCAGACGGTATTGCCACGATGTCACAGAGCAAGGGTTCGAATCCTGCTGAGGGAAGAACAAAAATTTGCTAACACTAATTTGCAGATCTAACATGTTTGGCTAAATTTGAGACGAATTATATTATGGTGTTAGCCCTGTATAATCACGTGTTATCCGATGGAGAAAGTCTGACATAAAGTTGTCACATGTTTAGACGTATATATATATATACATAATTACTCTAAATATCAGCACAACAATGTTAAATCTGCATTATCCCGGATTCGAACTCATGCTATTGGGATATCGTGACAACACCGCCTGCACTGTGTCCAGCGCTCTAGACCACTCGGCCACCTAGTCTGAACTAAAAGTTCAGCTTCGGTGGCCTAGTGTTACCTTAAGCTTCCTCGTCAGTAGAATCTAGAGTTGTAACACAGTACATGATATATTAGGCATGAAGATGGAATTGATTGCAGATTAGCTAAATTATCTGTCGTAAAGGATCGCAAGATATAAAAATATATAATTCGTCTCAAATTTAGCCCACCAATGTTAGATCTTCAAATTTGCGTTAGCAAATATTTTTGTTCTTCCCTCAGCGGGATTCGAACCCTTGCTTCTGTGAATTCGTGGTTACACCGTTGCACCGTGTCCAGCGCCTACACTACTCGACCATCTAGGCTCCATTTAACATATTGACGATCAAGTATGAAAGCGATAACTGTCAGCCTCATCAAAATGAGAAAATAAATTAATCAGAGAGGTATATATATCTAAGAACGACAACTTTTACCTTTTTGTGAAGTGTCTAACTAACCTTATATAATAACGTAAAGGTTACCCTGTGTCTGCTACTCTCCCATCAGGGTTAAAATTTTGCCCCATTACTCTCAATTGAGCAAAAGCAAATTCAGTCAGTTAAACAGAAAATGCTGTTTATTTCCATAAAAAAATTAAATAGGGACAATACATAACGAATAACTGCATATTCACGGAAAGAGAAATTAATTTTATACTATTTATTTGAACATTTGTGTCGTCAAATATATTCATCTAAAACTTCATCCAAATGAATTGTTAGACTACATTAAAAACTGCACTTCTTGTATATAATGTTTTCTTTCACGAAATTTTCAACAGAAATGATAAAAACCATCGAATTTATTATTATAAAATTCAATGTATTAATTCCTGCATGTTCATATGCATTAAGTCTGCCTGGAGTGAAAAGTTCTATGGTCCTTACGAGTGATGGCACGGAATCATAACGGTGGCGAGAGAGCAGCGGACACATGGTAACGTATATGGAATCACCCCTTTTTGCATTGCAGGATCTACAAGGAGGGTGAGTGGATCCCCTTTCTCCGCATTTATGGAAAAATCATGAAAACCAGATGGAATTAATGCCTGTAAGAATTCCTTTTTTAACTGAACTAAACCAATGCCTTAGTGTTTGATTGAAAGGAGCATAGTGAAAATTAAATCAATACATGCTAATAAATTAAAATCAACCTGAATATTAAGTCGACAAAAGACAAAACTAATATACAGCATGTGGATTTGAAAACTACATAAAACTTGGTTATCAAATAAGTGGATCAGACTTCTAAGTATAACATTTTGTTCGTACATATTTACGATAAACAAACAATTGTCAAAGACTTTTTAACTTTATTTAATTCAACAAATGTGACCTGCACTAAAACAAAAAAGAAAAGAACAATCAGAATATATGTATGAAAATATTAGTAAATAAATCTACATTGTATGGCGCCCAGCACCGAGTCTTAGTATTTTGTTAGTAAATAACGATACAAACATTATTGGAAATCATTAAGTTATGACTGTCAAAAAGCTCGATATTTCTAAGTTGTTAATTAACAAATAATAATTCAATAATGCAGATTTTGAAATATATATCAAATTATCTGGTTTTCAATTACAAAAGAACATGTTGTAAATATTACGATTTAAAGCACTTTATTATCATGGACTTTGAACTTTTTTTCTTGCAGTATTTATCACAATAATGTATGAAATCTAAAGTAAGGTAAAAGTAAGAAGACGATATATATAACTGTAAAAAACATGATTCATTGATATAAGATTAAGATTAAGACTGACTTAATTGAGGTGCCTTTCAAACAAATAAATAATAAAAAATGTGTCTCAAATATATCGGAAACGAAAACAGTACCCTAAACGTAACTACATGTATACAGTTTGAATATATTTATAGAAAGCAATTCTATGTAGATATAAGAAGATGTGGTATGAGTGCCAATGAGACAACTCTCCATCCAAGTCACAATTTATAAAAGTAAACCATTATAGGTCAAAGTACGGTCTTCAACACGGAGCCTTGGCTCACACCGCACAGCAAGCTATAAAGGGCCTCAAAAATTACTAGTGTAAAACCATTCAAACCAACGGTCTAATATATATAAAAAAACGAGAAACGAGAAACACTAATGAACCACATCAACAAACGACGACTACTGAACATCAGATTCCTGACTTAGGACAGATGCAAACAATTGCAGCGGGTTTAAACGTTTTAATGGTACCAAACCTTCACCCTTATCTGAAACAATAGTGTAACATCACAACATAGAAAGACACACTATAAGATATCAATTGAAATGCCTTAACTCAATTAAAAGACATATTAACACAAGTGAACATGTATGTGTACTTTTTAAAGTCTTGTGAAATATGCAATATTACTTAATCATTAATTGAAGTGACGATAGAGTTTATCTTTTTCTACTTAGCATACAAATGGAACAGGTTTTAGCTATTTCTTTTTCATCTAGACATTCTAATGTTTCAAAACATATTACACTTAATTTAAGACGTCTTGCAAAACAAATTAAAACTCATAAGTCAATAGAAACCGAGTGAAAATGAATCATGAAATTATACAGTATTGTTTATATTGCGTTTGAAAAATATATACGTCTCAAGCTGACGTGAAATTTAACTTTCCGCTATTTGTACTGCTTCCAAAAAGTTCGTCATCGAATGAATAAATCAAGAAACACGTGACTCCCATAAGAACTCCAATTAGGATTGCCCAAAATGGCGCTCGGTTCGAAATGAACAGCACTCCAAATATAGTTGCATCGATCAACCAAACTCCGGAGAAGAAATAAACGAGATATTCTGGAATCTTCCACAATTTCTCTGCTCCCCATACGTTAAGTTCGACTGATCTTAAATGCAGGAAGAAAACCAAAAATACTCCTGTCGCAACCAGGACTACCATATTCATGATGAGTACTATGTGAGCCGGTGTTATAGCGCGCAGTGTTTTGCGCAGGTCGTCTGCAACTTTAAGGAGTCCGTCAGCTAATCTGCCCTGATTGTTGTACTCTCTAAATGTTGATTCGATTTTTGATACGACACTATCAGTAACTAAGGTAGATGCCTTGTAACCAACAGAAACATGAATCTGTAGAAATAAGAAAATAACTAAATAAATGGTAATTTAAAAAGTCTTTATTATACAATTTTAGGCTTACTGAAATATTAAGAGAACAACCCTTTTATATATTATGAACTTGAAGTTCTTCAGTCTTAAACGAAAGTTTAACACGACAGGTGTCACATGTAGAGCAGAATATGCTTACCCTCCCGGATCTCCTGAGATCAACCCTGGTTTTTTAAAAGATAAATGTTTCTCATTTCTTAGTTTTTTATGTAGTGTTTTGTGGACTTCTTTGTCTTTTCGTCGTGTTTGGTTCTTTTCTCTGACGTTGTAAGATCGTTTAACTTATTAAAAAAAACAACGGCACTTTATAGTACTCACCTTATCTATATCTTGAGCGTACAAGATAATTACGTCATTTCCGCAACTTCCAAGTGCCCAGCCACTGCGCAACTGATCGGCAAAGTTTTCCATAATAGCGTCCAGTTCACCAGAAGTGGCACTCCTAGCGGTTGTGTTTAATGTTGGCTGAATTTCTCCACAGTCATTAATGCATCTGAAATATTGTATCACAGCTGTTAATGTTTTATCATCAGGCAAATGTAGTTAGAAACATAAATGGCTTTTTATACTTCGCGGAATATCAAATAAAAACACATACACATTTAAAGAGTTGGTTTCATCGTGATTAGAAAAAAAAAAAAAAAAGAAACACATGGTTCAAAATTTTGGATCGAAGATACCTTACATTTCACTCTCTATGATATATTTCAAACAAATTTATCAAGCAATGACACGTTTGTTAACAGTGTCAATATGAACACATCAGCAAATATTTATTATATGCTTTCATTTCTTTTTGCCTTTATTTTACTATGCACAGAGCGTTATCTATTTCGTATTACACTCATTGAATTAATATTTGATTGATTGGTTTGGTGTTAAACGCCTCTTTCAGAACTTTTGGCTATTTCGTGGTGGTGAATTTTTATTGGCGAAGGAAGCCAGAGCCCCCGGATAGAACCACCCACCTTCGGCAGGAGAACTGACATTCCTAGTCATATAAGATTGGAGTCAATCGCACCTACCATGTGCGAGTTTCGAACTCACAACATCAGTGTTGACAGGCTAGTAATACAGTTGTTAAATTACTTAGAACCCTCGGCCATAGACATAAATGTTTAAAAATACTTACGTTGTACTGTCCTGCAAGTCTGGTATCCGTATTCTATTTATTAGGGCCACCGCCACAATATAGCTCTGATCTTCACCATCGGGTCCACTACACTGTGTAGATGTATTAGTCTGAATCATGGCCAAAGCCAGATCTACCGCATCAACTGTAATTACCGCAAAGATATTATAAATATGAATAAAAGGAGATGTGGATACATGTATAAAGGTCATTGATAAAGCAACGCAAATAAACAAAAAAAAACAAAGATTTCAACAGTCTTCAACAAAAGACAGGGTCTTGTTAATACAATATGACAAAATCTAAAAATTAAAAATAACAAAAATACCAAACTCCAAGGAAATTCAAAACGGAGAGTCCTTTATAAAAAGGGAAAATGAAAAGCTCAAACGAATGGAAAACAACTGTCATATTCCTGACTTGGTACAGGCATTATCTTATGTAGAAAATGGTGGATTGAACCTGGTTTTAGAGCTAGCTAAACCTCTCACTTTGAGTCAACAAAGGTTGTAAATAAATTAAACAATAACTATCAAAGATATCCAACCAACACCAACTTCTCCAAATAGCATTAACAAAAAAAAAAAAAAAAAAAAATAAATAAAAAAAAATAAAAAAACAGGAAAATAAAATAAAAAAACAACACTATTTTTTTTCGACCAACGATTAATTTTAAAATCAAACAGAATGTTCATTCTCCTAAAATGCAGTGAAATGGTGATTCATGTGTTTGCCTGTGAAACCACGTTTAACTGAAAACATTGTTTAAGTACACAATCCTATCTTCTTTGCTTACTTGATTTACAAAAAGGAACATTTTTGCGCCAATTTTTTGCGTCTAACTCAGATTCTATTGGCCTGAAAATATGTGAAATCTAAGTATGTTGTACATTTTTGTCTATGAGATGACACGCGAGTAAAGATACCAAAGAAAGTTTATTATCTGAGGATAAATTGACCCAACTGTATAGTACTCTATCCAGATAGAATGAGTTTTATTGTTGGATTGCTTGAATATTTCCATATACTTTACTAAGCAACGTCTGAGCGACGTCAATATACGTATCTAAATCAATTGAGGACTACATATCAAGCATGTTTGTTATATGCGCCCGTTGGGATCACTGGCGAAAATTATAACCACGCGTGCTGATGTGTATCCCGATAATGAAATTTCACCGTACGATGACCTATAAGTTAATTTCTTTAGTTTTCTATGTTGTGTTTTGTGTACTATTGTTTGTATGTTGGTCTTTTTCTTTTTTAGCCATGGTGTTGTCAGTTTATTTTCGACTTATGAGTTTGAATGTCCGTTTAATATCTTTCGCCTCTCTTTTACATCCACGTAGTTTTTGTCTCTAATTGACATTTGTCTCATTTGCAATCATACCACATCTCCTAATTTATATATTTTTTTCAAAATAATTTAGTGTTGTTTTAGTCTTTAACGGTACAATGTGAGCAGAGACGACATCACGGGGGTTCCCTTTGTGATCGGAAACTTACCTTGTGATCCCGATGTTATTGGTAAATTAACTTACCTTGTGATGAGATGAGATAATCAGGGTCACACACCCAATGGTGGCCATCAGTAGCTGTCAATCCACATCGTGAGTGGTCAAACTTAGGGTTAGGGAACTTGCAATGAGACCAAATCTTCTCCCCAGTATCTGCGTCAACATTATACGTGTAACCTTGGTAATCAAGCGATGCGTCCGTACAGGTGCTGTACTGTAGGGTCAGAGACGGTAAAAGTGTCACAAGTAATATTTGAAATAACATGTTTTGCTGCAAGAAAAATATTTAGGATAAGTAGAAAAGACAGCGTCAATAAGTGTTAATTATATTTTTATGTGAAAGAAGAAAAGGAAGTCGTCTATAAGACAGAAAATTGTCAGTACTTAGGTGATTTTATAAGAACATTCATTTTATTTAGTCTACAAACTTCGAATGTCTATATACAGATTTGATGTCTAAGACTTTATCCTCATATTTTCTATTACTGATGTCCAGACTTTCGACATTAAGTATAATTGGTTTCGTATCAGATTCCGCGGAACACTTAAAATGCATATTTCTTATGGGCGATGACGCATATGAATTATTTTTCTGGTAAAAGGGAAATAATCCAATCTGATCACGTTCCATCGTCTATACAATGCCTTAAGGTACGTACGATACTTAGGAAATTGCATGCCTAACAATGAAAGTCCGGACGTCTCTAATGAATACATAGAATTTAAAGTCTCTATTTTCAAACAGTGAAAAATAACGTTTAGTTCAATGCTATATAAAATTGAGAATGGAAATGGGGAATGTGTCAAAGAGACAACAACCCGACCATAGAACAGACAACAGCAGAAGGTCACCAACAAGGTCTTCAATGCAGCGAGAAATTCCCGCACCCGGAGGCGTCATTCAGCTGGCCCCTAAACAAATATATATACTATATATATACTATATGAACATTTATATTCGAGTGTATGAATAGAATTTAAAAGTTGAAATAGCTAATCTGAGCCTTTTTAAAGTATTTATTGATCTTAAGTTAAATAGCCACATAAAATTGGAATGAAAACCACTGCAATTATAAATGTCAATCGTACTAAAAATGTAAACAAAGCATAAAAAAATAGAAAACAACACGTTTAATAATTTCATGCGTCAGAAGCGCTTTTCTGGATTTACCTTCATCAGGAACGCTCAAAGCCAAACATTTGAAATCCGAGGGATGTATAAGTACCGAAACCGTTGAAGAGCTATATTACAAAAATACCTAAAAATAAATAGCCAAATTCATCTAAAGTCAACTTTGCCTGAGGGAGTTGAAACCTTAGTTTCTTAATAATTTCAAAATTTAAAAACGGACAATTTTACAAAAGTTTGTTAAATCATGTCAGTACCGAAGTTCTGACTACTGAGCTGATGATACCCTCGGGGACTGATAGTCCACCAGCAGAGGTATCGAACCAGTGATGTAAAAAATTGAAAACAAAACGTTTAATAATTTCATGCGTCTGAAGCGCTTTTCTGGATTTACCTTCATCAGGAACGCTCAATGCCAAATATTTGAAATCCATAAGATTCATTAACAGTCCAGCACTTCATATACTGTTATCCTTTAATATACAGATAATTAATATATATTCAATGTAGCATTCTATTTATTTTTGTGGCTCTGTTTGAAACAGTTTCTTCCAATTTCATGGCTACCAGTTACATTGATAGAGCCAAGAGAAAACAACCGAACTGACAGACTTTTTTCTCACAAACTGATTGGTCGGGTGAACTCCGATAAAAAAAAAGTAATCAGAACTTGTCCCTAGTCCTTTAACAATACCATAGTCCAATACATAGTTACATAACTAGGCCTTTGTGTTCCATTTCTGGATGTGCAAACTTAGGGTAGGGAACTTGCACACCCAAAAGTATTGAATTGTCACTAGGATATATCTACTGGAACACTATCTTACTTGTCAATACCCCGTAGCACCTTTTCATACAAGGCTTCCAAAGAAGTTCCCCAATTAAGATGACGTTTAGTAAATGAATAATTAAAACTTAATGTCGCATGTGAAACAGGATCTTCTAACCCTTTTTTAGTACCTGAGATTACCCCCAGGTTTTGGTGGGGTTCGTGTTGCTCATTCTTTAGTTTTCTATGTAATGTTTTGTAGACCGTTGGGTGTATTTTTCATCGTTTTAAATTTGTTTTTGTTATGCTATTGACAGTTTCTCTATGACTTGTGAGTTTTTAATATTCCTTTTAGGATCTATTAAACATAAATAAAAGACGTCACACTACTGTGACAGCTTGCTCTGTCTCATACATTGACAACACATCATAGTAAACGTCGACAGTGAGAGACCGTTTTGAGTTAAACTTTTTGACAAAAAGTTTCACTTTAATTTACATGAAATTGTGAACTTTCCGTTTTTATGTATATAGCAATATTTTAGCAGTGCCTGTATTTGAAGTTCGTTTCTACCAGTTAATGTGACATTCAAGAACATTAGACAAGGTGCAAGCGGACTTAATCACTTGTCCAATACAGTAACATGTTATGATTGCCCCGTTGACATAGTAGAAGTCCTACCTATATTTTGACCGGAAAGTGTCTGCCTAATATAAAAATAAGGAGATGTGGTATGATTGCCAATGAGACAACTATCCACCAAAATTTAGATAAAGTGGTTGTAAGCAATTATAGGCAACCATACGGCCTTCAACAATGAGAAAAACCCATACCGTATAGTCGGCTATAAAAGGCCCCGACATGAAAATTATGAAACAATTCAATTGAAAAAACTAACGGCCTAATTTATAACAAAACAATAATCTTTTTTGCTTGTCTAAGTTGATCCATTCTCCTGAATCATCTTATATCTGGTCAAAAATACGTACTTTGGTTGTTTTTCTGGAATGTCCATGCAACATTACAAATATTATTGGGATATAAGAGTCCAGATATAACAATCAAATAACTTTATTCTTATAAATGAATGTGTGAGATCATCGGGACACTTGCTTTACATAGATCGTATTGTGACCTATATATACTGTGACCTATAGTGGTTTACTTTTATAAATTTTGACTTGGATGGAGAGTTGTCTCATTGGCACTCATACCACATCTTTTTATATCTATATCTTTTAAAATATTGCTGTGTTAATTAGTCGTTATCCTTTTGGATGTTAATCCTGTTTCTGCTTTGAAATATTTGTGTTAAAAGAAGCGATGGAATAAAATGAACAAGATGTTATTCACACAAGCTGATACGGAACCAAACATGAATAAATAGATAAATAGAGATGTGAGGTATGTGCCAATGAGACGGCAAACCAACAATACAAATAATAATAAAAAAAAAAACCTGCAGGTCAACACTGATCAACATAAAGTTTTCAACAATAAACAGATTAAAATACAATATAGATATACTGAATAAAAAAATAAAAAAATAGACGCTGACAACTATGCTTCATCAATACATCGCTTTACATCATGCGGAATGTTTTATGAATGAGTCCGAAATAATAATATTTTGGATATATTCATGAAATAAAAACAGAATATAGCAACCTGGTAGTATTTAGCAATTTTTAGACATTTATTTTGGTCATGTGATAGAAGTATACAATTGCAGATGTGATTCTGTGAATACTAGTTAAGATCATATAGATATGCCCCTACCACGTTTTTTTTAAATATACGGAGACGATTAACGGGCTTTATATTTGACCTGAGTCAAGTCCCTATGGTTAAGATGTACTCTTTGTACATGACCCCGGTGTGAGATATATTCAAAGGGAATTAATTGATGCTGCTATTAAAATAACTACGTATCAATATCTTAGTTAAAACAGTCTATAAGTGAACCAACTGATGCTAACTAACGAGTACCATTTACATGCAATTATGATGCAACAGATTGTATGAGATACACTCTAGCTAGATCTACTTAAAAAGCAGCCATTTCATTTGCCAACCGGACTTATGTACAGTCGATTTTAAAATTATCTAAAATAAAATACGAGCCTTTTACATGTTAAGCATAAGAAAACAGTGCAACCATAGTACATAATTGAAGATACTTTGTTCACCTCGCTTACTCGTATAAGTTATTTCAAATAATAGCCACATAAAAAAAAAACTAATATAATTTGAGTACTCAACTCCGTCTTTTTTTCCCCCCATCTCGATCAGAGGAATAACAAAGGACACATACAACAATCTGCTAATAATTAATGGAGTTTATACAACTCCTGTACAAAACAAAAATGGAAAATAAACAATGATAATTTTAAAATACCAAATCAAAGAATTCTCGCTGTTACTGACAGCAACCCAAACAATCAAAGTACAGGCAAAAGATGATCACTTGCATGGAAATTAAGATCAAAACTATACATATAAGTAAAAAAAAAGACGCACGAGGTCATGGTCAAAAGAAAAAAAAGCGAAACAAAAACAAAGAATAGCCCATAAAACACTACAAAAAATTTAACACTGAACAACAGAAACCCAATAAAAAACCGGGGGTGATTTCACATTCCTTGTAAGGGTCAGAGGTTTAATAAGAGGGTGAACCACCAGATGACAACGGGTGAATCGAATAAGGCACACACAGCGAAAGAGGTTAAAACAACAGTTCTTGAAATTGCGATATATGGATCCATTAAAACATTCATTTTTTTATATTAAGTATAAAAAATTTCCATTTTCATTTGGTATATTGATTCATTTACTAAAATGTGAATAATATTTTTTCTACACAATACACATTTATTGAAAATTTTACGTTTATGTTTGAATAGAAATTCGTCATACCTATTCAAAGCAGATCAATCAATTATTTATTAAGAATGGAGTTGTTTATGAAAGCAACATGGAGAGTTGAAACACACGAGTTATCAATTCAAATCACATTTTTTGTGTATCAGTTATTTTGAGTTTTTTTTTTAATTTGTCCTACCTTCTATCGAAATTATTTCTCTAGTCCATGATTTTATTTGTAAATGAACTGAAAACTCATTAAATTTAAATCATCTATTTACATACCTGTGAATTGAAAAAGAAAATCCGGGTGTTAGGATATGATAATTGATGAGGACCAGCTTAAGGGTATTTCTATCGATTCTTTGAAGATACTTGTTACTTCATATCAGGTCCGGTTAATGGAATGTATGCACATGTTGTAAATAGGGTTTGATTGAAACTTTTGTTTTGTAAAAAGTGGACTAAGTTTCCATATTTTGTGTGTGTGTGGTATGTGTTCCTGTCTATACCTAGCTTCTCTCCTTATATTCATACAATGTGTAATAAGATTTATTTACGACCCCGCAGTACATGAATATATGACAGTTAAATATGCTGTATATAATTGAAGTTAGTACATCGTTATCGAAATGAAAACCTCCAAAAATTATATTCTTTCAATGTTGGGTTAGCGCAAAATTTATGTCTGTATTAAACACCTGAAATGCCGTTTTTTAAAATAAATTAACTCCGACAGATATTTAATTTTTCGACTTTTTTTAACCAGGGTAAGACAAAATGATATAACACAAACAGTCTCAATTGGTTTTGCTCCTATTTGGAGGATATACGGTGACATAACATTGCTTACATCTATGTCGGTTGGTCTCTGGTGGATAGTTGTTTCATTGGCAATCAAACCACATCTTCTGAATTTTATAAACTAAAATGAATCTAAAATGAAAATATACAAAGTAAATAAATGCTTTAAATTATCGCTCCATTCATTTTCCATCACGGAACTCATGCAAAAAAAAAAAAAAAAAAATCCCTACCGTGCCTCTATATGATAAGGCAGTTCAATACCATAACCATAAATACAGTTTCAATACACAACAAAGTCAATGTCATTGTAAATAACTTTCGTGTACTCCTATATACAGGTATGCTTCAATCTGATCATTTGAATCAACACAGTTTTGTTAGAACTTTAAACTTGTAATATTCTGCCTTTGAATTTATTCAATACAAGTAAAACAAATTACAAATATATTGAAAAGCTGTGCATTTACATAATTACATTTGTCAATGAGAAATTTATTATTAAGAATTAAATCCCTCACAAAGTTTTAATGTAAGTATCACGCAATATCATACATTTACAGTGGGTATTATAGCTGACTAGCGTATCAACCTCCTCGTACACATGTAGAATTGTTAATAGTTAACAAGTTCCATATATTCGAGTTAAAGACATTTACACTACGAACAAATATCTAAACAGATAAGGTAATTTTCCTTGTATTTGATTTAATATTAGATTGATTACTTTATTGTTGATTGTTCAGCGTCTAATGGCAATTTAAGCATATTCAAGATAAAAAAATCTTAAATTATATTACATTTTTTCATTAATGCAAAACAATCCCAATTAGGAATTTATTCATAAAAAAGACATACAAATGCGTAATAGGTTGGTTCAGCAAAATCCCAAACCTTTTCATATAATTTAGATTTTAAAAATGTATACCTTTTCTTATATGGCGTAGGTAAATATGTTACCTTTTCCCTTATTGATTGGGTTTCATGTGGTGTGTTTGAAAAGTGGAATATCAAAGCGTCAAAAGATGGAAAATTTGTGGACCTTATATATTTCAGGATAGTTTTCCCCGCCTATTCACATATTATCAAGCTGGAAAATGTGACCTATTCCAGCGACACGTCTTCACCTTGTAAATAGGAAGTGCCCTCCCCCCCCTCACGAGTTTAAATATCGGTGTTATGTGTTTTGTTAATATGCGTGCAATGATTTGGTGATCTTTTTGGCTGTCTTCATAATTTTGTTTTCGTTTGCTACTATGTTCAATAAGGGTAGGACCATGCACACGGTATTCAAAATGAAAAGTAACAGACCTACACACAATTGACAAAACATGTTCATGATCTTTAAAACAATCATAGAACTACGTCATCGAGTACCCCCCCCCCCTCCCCAAATGTGACTTGGGAATAGAAATATGGTCACCGTTGGTTTTCCTCCGACCGGCAGTAAAACCCTCGCTAAAGTGGGGCGTCCGTTTGGCTGTGCGGGATGTACAAATTCGCAGCCATGTCCGGTCAGAATGGGGACGTTAAATCCGATGCCTCTTGTAAAGAGAGATTCACGCTCTTTGCACGTTAAGAACCCTTGCAGCAACTCTTTGAGAGGTCCGCAGGTGGTCAGGTTGTCCCTATCCAATATACCCTCATTTTCCCGTTGTAGTCCACATTTTCCGAACTTCATCCCGGACGGCCTCTATTATGTATGTATTGTAAAAATATTTCCTTTCTCTATTGGTACTGTACACGTATACCTAACAACAAAATTATTTTCATTTACCTGTGTTTAAAGTTTTTGCAAATGGCTGATATTTTTGTTCGAGCTTATTGTTTTTCTTTAATTGTTTAACATTTCTTACCGATATAACATGTTACTTTTATTATTCTTCCCTTAGTTTATTTATTTTGTATTTACATTGTGTCATAGGTCAAATTTATTTGTTCAGTGTATGTTCAATGGTGTTAATATGTCCTTTGATTGAGTTAAGCTATTTCAGTTGATATTTTATAGTGCGTCTTTCTATGTTGTGATGTTACACTATTGTTTCAGAAAAAGGGTGAAGGTTTGGTACCATTAAAACGTTTAAACCCGCTGCATTTGTTTGCACCTGTCCTAAGTCAGGAATCTGATGTTCATAGTTGTCGTTTGTTGATGTGGTTCATAAGTGTTTCTCGTTTCTCGTTTTTTATATAGATTAGACCGTTGGTTTTCCCGTTTGAATGGTTTTACACTAGTAGTTTTTTGGGGCCCTTTATAGCTTACTGTTCGATGTGAGCCAAGGCTCCGTGTTGAAGACCGTACTGTGACCTATAATGGTTTACTTTTATAAATTTTGACTTGGATGGAGAGTTGTCTCATTGGCACTCATACCACATCTTCTTATATCTATTGTTAATTTGTTCTCGTCCTGAACATGCATGCAATATTTGCCACTGGACGTTCAGCATCCAACAATCAATCAATCGAGTATTTTTAGAGATTAATCAACTATTTTCACTTAATAAACGTTTCATAAGAAAGAACGAAAAAATATCACCAAAGTTTGCTATTTGATATAATAACGAGATATAAAGTACATGTAACAATACAATATATTATGTTTATTGTATAAGCAAATACTGCATTGTGAATTAAATGCGTATTAAAAAAAAATCTGAAGCTGGGTTTGGTCTTACTACCATTTTGAGAATATTGGTAAGGCAGTATATTGAGTCGAAATAGGTCATTCTCCAAGGTTATGTACTATTAAGGGGATTTAAATTGATACGGTTTCTGTCGTATTATAGAATACGAAAATGCATGTCTTGGTCGTGGCATAAGCAATGCTGCATTTTTAAAAAAGTACAATTATGTTTCATGATGATACTCTTTACTGCATTGTCTAACTTAACATTATATTATCTAACATATATTATCTAACAGTTGTATATTGTTTAGAAATTTTCGTTTTTTTTTCTCAAGATAAATACGGTGTCGGAATTAAGATTGTAATATATTTATTTAATTATGCATTGATAAAACGTATTGTAAAGTCTATCATATTAATATGGCAATCATGAAAACGCGTTGTGTGCTCGCCTCGAGTGTGGGAGGTCGTGGGTTCGAAACACGGCCGTTTTAAATCAAAGACTTGAAAATTGTTATTTGCAGCATCTCCGTTAAGCACGCGGCATATAGGAGTACGAGCAATAAAAGACTGGTCGGCTTGGAATGAAAATAATGAATCCGGATATGATGACATGTCATATTGCAGACTGTTACCTTGTTAACTATCACGTTAAAAATCTGACTCAGCGTGTCGGTCTTTTACAAAGCAGGGTTAATATTAATATATTCGATGAGCTGTATTGCAAACGAATAAAGGTATTAAATATCTTAACTTCATTCAGAGTTACTAAATGGCAACATATATAGACTATGATTTTGCGTCTGAAAGCTTTTTTTACATTACAACTGTTTGTATTTATTGCGATACAAAATTAAGGATGTTCGCTACTCTGTTTCAAAATAACAAGCTTTTTAAAAGACTGTTATAAATTGATAGTATATATATAAAGAAAATAAAAAAGCAGAAAAAAATGAAGGGTCCGTGTGTTGCTTTCGAGATTTAAGCCTCTGCAAATTTGGCGGGAAATAATTCTCTCTAGATTTTTCACACATTTAACATTGGCACCTTTTTTCTTTCAAAAACGATGAAAAAATAACAAGGATTTTATAAGATTTTCAAAGATGACATTTTGAACTATATGTAATCAAATTATGGAAAGAAAAGTAGGGGGTTAGTGAACAAAATTTTTAATGGCACTACATTGGTAAATCCAGAGGATTCCGAATATCTGGCAAAAATTCAAAAACAAGAGGAGCGAACATTCTTAAGTCTGTTGTGGTCGACTTTTAAGATAACCCTTCATTTCTAAAGATTTTGCTTACTGTCATTACAAATCTTAGGAATAAGAACGAAAAATAACAGCTGTTGAAAACTGCCTTACTTCATATATACCTAGACTTACCAAGAATAATAGTGTTCCTTTTTGTATTTATATTATCGTTGACAATCAGAATTATTCCAATATATATCATATATAGATATTTTTCTATTTGGTACTATGTATAATTTGGCATGTCATTTAGCATCGGCCCTTGGTGTCTCTTGCAGTCCGGTCACCATACAATATGTATCAACCCCTCTGCATTAGTCACGAAGATGACATGCCAGGTTTGAGCATCTGCTCATAATATTTTAACCAAATTGTCTATCTACATACATTATTTTCCTATATACCTTAACATGATATTAAAAAATAATTCAGAGACAAGTGCCTGTGGTTCAGACATGTTCAAACTGATTTTTTCTTTTCTTTGTATGTATACTTGATTATTGCTTTTTGTTTTTGTTTAAATAATGTTTAATATTGCAATACGCTGTTTGTGATGGAATAAAACATCTTATTCTTTTCTTCTTCTATACCTTGGAATGAAATCAGAAAAGGAAAAACCGTATTAATATTAAAAGAAGCAAGCTAGATCACAGGAATGTGCAAATATAAAAGAACTATATTCGAGCTCCCAACAAGATAGATATGAT